GCGAACATCTACGTAAAAAAAGGTGCAACAGGCTCGTCGAATACAAGCTGGGTCCGAGACCATCATGTCGGTCGGGCTCCAATCCCGTGGGACCGAGATCGACTTGGAGCAGCCGCAGAGATCCCATAGCTGGGGACGTTCGGAGGCCCTGAAGCGCATCAGGGAGCAGACCTACGAGACGCTGGTGGCGGGCTGTGCTTACGGCCTTCGCTGCCCCCGCAGCGGCCTCCTCTTGCCCAAGGTCTGGAGGATCTGCTCCGCCGACCCCGAGCTGCAGAAGGCCACCGGCAAACGCTGCAGCAATCGCCCTGGTCGGCATGACAACCACGAGCACGGTGAGATCATCGGGGGGAAGGTGGTAGCGGCTACAGCGTTCTACCCTGAGGCGTTGTGCAAGGCCTGGGCGAAGCACACTCTGCGTGCTGGAGGTGGTACTACAGCTGGAACCTCAGCCCTCTTGGCGACGGACCAGGATACTGACGATGGCATCTTTGAGGGCATCGACGCAGACGGCGACCAGGAGATGGAGGACCAGCAGGTGTCAGACGAGGAGCTCGACGAGGATGACCTCAGGGAGCTCTCCAAGGACGGTGGCACGCTGAGCACCAAGGGGGCCCAGGAGATAGAGCACCGTCTCAGCCGACTTCATCGCAATCTGGGTCACCCCAGCGTACGCACCATGTTCAATATTCTCAAGAACTCAGGCGCGAGCATCCAGGTTCTGAAGATGGTCAAGAAGTTTAAGTGCCACGCCTGTGACTCCTCGGTGCTGCCGAAGGCCGTCAGAACAGCTGCTGGCATCGACATTCCCGAGGTCTTCGAAGTGATGGGGAGTGACGGCCTCGAGTGGACCGACCCTGTTGACGACGCGACCTACCTGTTCACGCTGAACCTTGACGAGGGGTCTGGACTCACGCAGATCTTCAACCACGGCGACAAGTCCCAGAGGTCCGGCAACCGATCAGCATCGGACCTCCTCGAGACCTGGAGATCCTGGACGAATCACTACCGCGCTCCTCGCTTCATTCGTTGCGACGCTGAGGGCTGTCATCGAGCGGAACTTACCAAAAACTGGTGCAGTACGCGCGGGATCGAGATGTTCATCGCTCCTGGCGAGGCGCACTGGCTCATGGGCAAGGTTGAGCGCCGGATCCAGTTGTTCAAGCGGATTCTTACTAAGTTCAGGAAACAGAATCACGACTGCGACATCGACGAGGCCATCAGCCATGTCACGCATGCGATCAACGATCTTGACAAGGTCGGGAACCATTCACCCTTCGTACATGCCTTTGGGACTGGAGGCCATCGGGGCTCGGGCAACCCCTTTGCCATCGTGGACGACAGCCACGGAGAGTCCCGGGAGCAGAAACGATTTCTGGCACGTCAGAGCTTCATAGAGGTGGAGTACTCAGAGCGACGCCGACATGCAGAAAATGCTCGCAGCCGCGTGACGACTCGCTGGAACACCGGCGAGCACTGCTACTACTGGCGGAAGGGCCGTGGTCCTGTCAAGGCAACCTGGTTTGGTCCAGCGCGCGTCTTAGTTCAAGAACAACGGGTACTTGCAGGCTCGACACGCCCAACTTCTGTCGTGTGGATCTCGCACGGCGATGTTCTACTTCGATGTGATCCTGAGCAACTGCGCCCAGCTACTGAGGCCGAGCGAATGGTCGCGGAGCTCAACAACATGGAGGGACGCGGGGCTACCATGTCCGACTTGATGGAGGTCGCCCGCCGCGGAACGTTCGAGGACCTCACCAACGAGAGCCGACCACACATCCAGAACTTCGAACCACAGGCGATCCAGCCGTCGGAGTCACCCGAGGACCATGACGACCGGATGAACGAAGAAGCTGCTACACCTGATCCCTCGGACGGACGTTCGGAACCAGCAGGCGAGCCGACGCCACCTGAATCGTCTCCGCCTTCCCCTTCAAGTATCTCCTCCATCGAGCAGCCTGTCTCGAAGCAGTCTCGGTTAAGTTCACCGTCCAGAGTGAGCTCAGCCCCACCTGCTGACCTACCTCATCGGCGCCGGCGCAGGTCTCCAAGGGCGACGAGACCACCTACCGACAGCCACCTGCTGAACGACGACAGGACCGACCTGGGCCCTACTCTGAGGGCAAGCCAACAGTCGAGGATCACATTTTTTTGCTTCCTCGCTTTTTCGGCTTCCCGACGCTCCGACACCCCCCCGGAGGCATCCAAGACCGCTTCAAGACGGTCCACGAGGCCCCCAGAGGACCCCCAGACGGTCCAAGAGAGCCCCAAGGCGGCCCCAGGACGGCCCCAGAGGCGCCCAAGACAGGCCAACGGGACCCCAAGATGGCCCGAAGAGCGGCCCAAGATGGCTCCAAGACGGCCCGAGGACCGCCCAAGAAGGCCTCGGTCTGATTTCGAGGATGTTCCGGCGAGACATATCCTGAGGGGTCTGCTCGAGTCTCCCGTCCCTGCAGCCTGTTTGGCTCGGCAGTGGGCGGGTGGGTTTCATATTGCGGGCGGGATGCCGCCTCAGGACGGCGCGGGCCAGCGCGCCGCCGATAGTCATAGCGAAAAGGGTTCGCATCACATTCTTCATTTCTTTCTCAGCATCTACGTCACAGACGATCGTGACGACCAGGGCTCCGGGGTGCCCTTCAATTCAGATTGGTAGCGAGAGCAGAGTTTCGACCACGGTCTACATTGTGACGATCACGATCGTCGGCGACAATGTCGAGTGGTGCGACTACGACCGGAGGAGCCGCTGGCGGCTCCGCAGCACTCCGACTAGACGTCCCGTCATGGGACGGAGAGCCCGACAGACTGCTGGCATGCAAGTTTGACGTTGGGCTCTTCAGCAAGAGCTATAAGACGCAGGACAGGTACGTTGTGGGACCCCAACTGGTGAGAGCACTAGGGGCAAGAACACGCAGACTGGCACAGGCGTGCCCAGACATCGACAAGATCGACGAAGGCAACGACGAGGGTAAGATGACAGGATGGCAACGCGTCTTCGACTTCCTCTTGTCGAAGCTCGACCAGTCCAATGTGAACGAGATGGGGAACTCAGCTGAGAAGTTCTTCAACAAGCTCCAGCGGGAGCCGGGCGAGGGCTTCCCCGACTGGACGGCGCGCTGGGAGGCGCACGAGCGCGACGTCTTGTCACAGCTTAAGGGGGTGGACAGCTCAGTCGAGGAGGTCATCGCAGCACCTCTGAGGACGTGGTGGTACCTCCGCCGTTCGCGCCTTAGCCCCGTGGCAAGGGCCGAGATCACCGCGACGGCGGGCGGCGACTGCGACTTCGGCAGGACGTACAAGGCGCTGTGCACGAGGTACCCGCTGGAGGCGCTCAAGGAGATCGACGGGGCCCGCGAGAAGAAGGACAGGCGCGCAGGGTTCTTCGGCGAGGCAGAAATTGCCGAGCAGGAGGACCACGACTTCGAGGACAGGTCCGAGATCGCGGACATCGTGGACCAGCTGGTGAACTTAGCGGATGAGGAGGACACGACCCTCTTCGAAGACGCCGAGCATGCCGACGACTACGAGGACGGCATCTACGCGGAGTTCAGGCAGCTGGGCAGGAACTTCAAGGACGCGAGGGACCTCATCAGGAAGCTCAGGGTGGCGAGGGAATGCTACGCCGTGCTCGCTCCTCGATCGGCGGAGGGACCCCCTCGTCCTCGACAACTACGTGATGGCCAACGCTCTTCTCGCCAAGATGGTCAACGATCCTCTCGTCAGGACGGTGGTCAAGAACCTGCGCGTGACAGGCGTAGGATGAGATGTCTAGCTTGCCGCAAGTTCGGACACCAGGCGAAGGACTGCCCCGAGAGGACGAAGGACCGCGGCAAGCCACAGCCCAACGACATGACCTCGTTTGCGCTTCTAGAGCTTGGACGACGTGTGCGGCATCTGGGCGATCCTCGACTGCGGGGCCACGAGGAGCCGCATCGGTGTGACGATGGCCGAGCACCTCATCTACGACATGGAGGAGAAGCACAACATACTGTTCGACGTAGTGGAGCGGACGCGGTGCTTCACTTTCGGCGACGGCAGGCGCAAGAGCTCGATGGGCACCATGGCGGGTGCCATTTTTCTCGGCGGCGGCCAGGAGAAGATCGAGATCTCGATCATGGACAACGAGGTGCCACTGCTGATCGGCATGGACGTGCTGGGACCTGATCATACCAGCGCCCTCATCGACTGCGGGAACGGCTACCTGATGCTGCCGAAGATCTCACACCAAGTCTTCCAGTGCCGGAAGATGCCCAGTGGTCACCTGGCCATCAACGTGACGACTCCGACGTGGTGGCAGAACGCCCCCCAGAGCCTCCCGAACATTGTCGGGGTCATACAGGGCAACGCCCTGGAGGACGAGGCTAAGACGTCCGCGGTCGCGGACGAGGCGGTGCTGGCGCTGGCGCCCGCGGCTGGCGCGGGGGCCTCGAGCTAGGGACAGCACCCCCTGGTGGATCCGAGAAAAGTTCTTTCCTCTAGTCCATATGGGGGCCCCGAGAAGACTCCAGAAAAGTCTCGCACCCTCGAGAGATCCTCAGACTTCCCGAAGTTCGAAGACGCCGACAGGGGTCAGGATGTCCTCGCTGCACCCCCTGGGCCTACTCCTACACCCCCAAGCCTCTCGAGATCTCCAACAGCATCTCCTACGAGGGCATCTCGGGGACCATCTTCGGGGACCAAGAGTTCGAGAGCAACGATCAGAGAAACCGAGACATCTCCAAGAGCGCAGACTAGTACGAGTACGAAACTCCCGACACGGCAATCTGAGCCTCCTCCCGATCCTGACGATTTTGATGCGCACCGGGCTCTTTCGGCTCGAAAGGGCGTTCATTCAGGAGGAGATCCTCAATATTCATCTACGCTTCCATATCCAGCGGATGTCATGCCGCCGTGGCACCATCTCGTCGCCTTCGGGTGTGCCACCGCCGCCATCCCCTACTACGGAGCGTCCGCGAGATCGCAGAACGACTCCTGTCACGTCAAAGCGGCCGACAACAGCCGAGGCGAGTGCGTCGACGTCAGCTCCGATCCAGTCCGAGGCCAGGGCCATCCAAGGCGAGTTCGCTTCTGTACCTCCAAAGGATGTGACCACGAATGCTGCTGGAGCGAATCCGACCGCCACCCTCGTCCAGGCGGCCAAGTCCAAGGCGCCGGGATTTCAGAGGCGCGGATGCTGCGGCCAACCAGGTCGCAAGCGGAACGGGCGTTCGTGCGCAGGAGGCCAGACCCACAAGTGTCTGCTGGAGGAGGCTGGGTACCCGTCGCTGAACTTCGCGCAGAACTACCGTCCACCTCGTCGGAAGAACGACCAGCCACAAGCAGGCCTCCCCGAGTGCACGATTCCCAGGTCGGCAAGCCCCGAGGTCAGTTGGCTGTGCAGGTCCGAGGTGATCTACATGAGGTGGAGGCGGATGCTGTCCAAGGTCCTGAAGAAACTGGCGAACGATCCGTCCTCGGAATCCTTCGAGATGCTGGACGACTCGCCCCAGAAGGGGATGGCCAGCAAGAGGGGGCGCGAGTGTCCCTGACCAGCGAGGACCTGGACATCATGCAAAAGGCTGTCGACCAGTACGACCTGGACTACACGAAGGAGATTGGCGACGACGTAAACTTCCTGTCCCGCAACGGCCGCTACGACTTGCTCGAGGTTTGCACGCCTCCGATGTCCCGTCTCTCCCAGGCGGTGGTCGACCTAGGTGGAGCCGCTTTCTGAGCTGGGGTACACAACGGGTTCGACATGGCGACGAAGACGGGAGTACGACGGGTCGCTCTGTGGATTCGTCAACATCGGCCTCGACGCATCGTCATGAGTCCTGCGTGCACCGCGGACTGCCAACTCCAGAACTGGGACCAGGAGACCCCAGAGGACCGCGAACGTCTACGTAAAAAGGTGCAACAGGCTCGTCGAATACAAGCTGGGTGCGAGACCATCATGTCGGTCGGGCTCCAATCCCGTGGGACCGAGATCGACTTGGAGCAGCCGCAGAGATCCCATAGCTGGGGACGTTCGGAGGCCCTGAAGCGCATCAGGGAGCAGACCTACGAGACGCTGGTGGCGGGCTGTGCTTACGGCCTTCGCTGCCCCCGCAGCGGCCTCCTCTTGCCCAAGGTCTGGAGGATCTGCTCCACCGACCCCGAGCTGCAGAAGGCCATCGGCAAACGCTGCAGTAATCGCCCTGGTCGGCATGACAACCACGAGCACGGTGAGATTATCGGGGGGAAGGTGGTAGCGGCTACAGCGTTCTACCCTGAGGCGTTGTGCAAGGCCTGGGCAAAGCACACTCTGCGTGCTGGAGGTGGTACTACAGCTGGAACCTCAGCCCTCTTGGCGACGGACCAGGATACTGACGATGGCATCTTTGAGGGCATCGACGCAGACGGCGACCAGGAGATGGAGGACCAGCAGGTGTCAGACGAGGAGCTCGACGAGGATGACCTCAGGGAGCTCTCCAAGGACGGTGGCATGCTGAGCACCAAGGAGGCCCAGGAGATAGAGCACCGTCTCAGCCGACTTCATCGCCATCTGGGTCACCCCAGCGTGCGCACCATGTTCAAGATTCTCAAGAACTCAGGCGCGAGCATCCAGGTTCTGAAGATGGTCAAGAAGTTTAAGTGCCACGCCTGTGACTCCTCGGTGCTGCCGAAGGCCGTCAGAACAGCTGCTGGCATCGACATTCCCGAGGTCTTCGAAGTGATGGGGAGTGGCGGCCTCGAGTGGACCGACCCTGCTGACGACGCGACCTACCTGTTCACGCTGAACCTTGACGAGGGGTCTGGACTCACGCAGATCTTCAACCACGGCGACAAGTCCCAGAGGTCCGGCAACCGATCAGCATCGGACCTCCTCGAGACCTGGAGATCCTGGACGAATCACTACCGCGCTCCTCGCTTCATTCGTTGCGACGCTGAGGGCTGTCATCGAGCGGAACTTACCAAAAACTGGTGCAGTACGCGCGGGATCGAGATGTTCATCGCTCCTGGCGAGGCGCACTGGCTCATGGGCAAGGTTGAGCGCCGGATCCAGTTGTTCAAGCGGACTCTTACTAAGTTCAGGAAACAGAATCACGACTGCGACATCGACGAGGCCACCAGCCATGTCACGCATGCGACCAACGATCTTGACAAGGTCGGGAACCATTCACCCTTCGTACATGCCTTTGGTACTGGAGGCCATCGGGGCTCGGGCACCCCCTTTGCCATCGTGGACGACAGCCACGGAGAGTCCCGGGAGCAGAGGCGACTTCTGGCACGTCAGAGCTTCATAGAGGTGGAGTACTCAGAGCGACGCCGACATGCAGAACATGCTCGCAGCCGCGTGACGACTCGCTGGAACACCGGCGAGCACTGCTACTACTGGCGGAAGGGCCGTGGTCCTGTCAAGGCAACCTGGTATGGTCCAGCGCGCGTCTTAGTTCAAGAACAACGGGTACTTGCAGGCTCGACACGTCCAACTTCTGTCGTGAGGATCTCGCACGGCGATGTTCTACTTCGATGTGCTCCTGAGCAACTGCGTCCAGCTACGGAGGCCGAGCGAATGGTCGTGGAGCTCAACAACATGGAGGGACGCGGGGCTACCATGTCCGACTTGATGGAGGTCGCCCGCCGCGGAACGCTCGAGGACCTCACCAACGAGAGCCGACCACGCATCCAGAACTTCGAACCACAGGCGATCCAGCCGTCGGAGTCACCCGAGGACCATGACGATCGGATGGACGAAGAAGCTGCTACACCTGATCCCTCGGACGGACGTTCGGAACCAGCAGGCGAGCCGACGCCACCTGAATCGTCTCCGCCTTCCCCTTCAAGTATCTCCTCCATAGAGCAGCCTGTCTCGAAGCAGTCTCGGTTAAGTTCACCGTCCAGAGTGAGCTCAGCCCCACCTGCTGACCTACCTCATCGGCGCTGGCGCATGTCCTCCAAGGGCGACGAGACCACTTACCGACAGTCACCTGCTGAACGACGACAGGACCGACCTGGGCCCTACTCTGAGGGCAAGCCAACAGTCGAGGACCACGATGAGGAGCTCTTCTCTCGGATCACCTTCGACGGGAACCGGGGCGGCACCGACTTCGAGCTGATCGACGAGAACATGACGGTCTACTACGAGATGGTCAAGTCCGAACTTGCGGACAGCCAGGGCGGACGTCGTCTCACCTCTCAGATGTTGGACTGCTTCGTTGCCAACCAGAGGCGGAAAGATGAGATCGAGTTTCACTGGGGAAAGCTTCCCCCTCCGAGAAGACGGAGTTCCGCAAGGCCATGACGAAGGAGGTCGCCAACTGGAAGCAGTGCAAAGGTCTCCGCCGCGTACCCGTCTCCGAGGTAAAGGATCCTGCGGACGTGATCAGGTGCCGCTGGGTGCTGACGCGCAAGAGCGATGGGACTGCTAAGGCGCGTCTCGTCCTCCTCGGCTACCAGACCAAGGACATCGGACAGGAGCCGACCGCTTCACCAACGGCCTCGCGCCGCGCTCGGAATCTGCTCCTCACGGTCGCGGCCGCCAACTCCTGGACCATCGTCAAGGGCGACGTGATCAGCGCGTTCCTGCAGGCGAACGACCTGAAGAATAATCTCTTCGTGGAAGCCGACGAGGCGCTGTCCGCCGAGTTTGGCGTTCAACCTGGTCAAGTGCTACGCGTGGTGAAGCCGGGCTACGGCATCGGCGAGGCTCCTCGCAAATGTTGGCAGACTGTGAAGCAGGACTTCGCCAAGCTGGGATTGCAGGCGTGCGATCTCGAACCATGCCTGTGGAGTCTACGCTGTCCTGAGATCAAGGCGCTGCTGGGGCTCATCATGTGCCACGTGGATGACTTCATCCTTTGCGGTGCCCGAGATCATCCTGCATGGCGGAAGGCGCTGAAGAGCATCAAGGCCCTTTACACGTGGGGCACCTGGGAGGACATGGACGACGAGATCGACTCCATCGAGCACTGCGGCGCGACGATCGAGAAGAACGAGGGGTTTCTTCCAACACCAGCAGGGCTACATTGACAAGCTGAAGGAGATCTTTCCAAAGTACCCGAAGGCTAAGTGCAGCGACCGATTGACCGAGGCGGACCAGAGTACCTTGAGAACTTGGTGTGGAGCTCTCTCGTGGCTCGGAGTCAATCCACTTCCCTGGGTTTCAGCATGGGTTGCAGATGTTCAAAGCAAGATCCCCAATGGTGACTACAAGCTCTTTTCGATAGCGAACAACATCACCAAGATGGTCAAGGCCAATCGGACTGACAGCATTCAGATCTTTCGCCACCAACTGCCAGGATGCGGACGAGGTGGCTCCGATTTTCGTATCTACACCTGGTGCGACGCTGCTTGGGCCTGCCGACCTGACGGACATCCCCAAGGAGGTCACGTTACAGCTCTCAGCTCGGCAGAAGGACCATTTCAGGAGGCATGCGACTTCGCTGTCTTAGACTGGGGATCTCGCAAGCTCAAGCCGGTTGCCAGGTCCAGCCTGTCTGCGGAGATCCGGGAGGCCAGCGATGCGGAGGGCGAGCAGATGATGGTTCGCCTGGTGCTCTACGAGGTGCTCTTCGTGTCGGTCGACCTCCAGAATCGCGCTGCTGCTCTGCATCACATTCCAGGAGCTCTCGTGACGGATTGCAAAGCGTTCTACGACGGGGTGGTGAAGTCTGAGTCGGCCGGCCTGGGCCTCGACGAGAGGAGGACGGCCATAGAGGCGCTCGCCTTGCGACGGGCCCTCGAGGAGGGCGAGACAATCGTGCGCTGGGTACATAGCCATGCCCAGCTGGCCGACGGCATGACCGAAGCCAGCCAGCAGGCCTTCAATGTGCTCCATGCCTTCCGGAAGAGCCAGCGGTGGAAGATCGTTCACGATGAGAGGTTTCTTTCGGCTCGCAAGCGGTCTGCCCTTGGTAAAGGGGTCTTCGACGAGACGACTGAGACCGACCACAGCGAGGCCAAGAAGATCCTTGAAGGCCGGAGGCGGGTCCAGCCCCCGGCTCGCGACGTGGCCACGGCAGGTGCCACGCCCTCCGAGCTCGAGCAGATTTCTTTTCCCCCTGTCTGATTTCGAGGATGTTCCTGCGAGACAGATCGTGAGGGGTCTGCTCGAGTCTCCCGTCCCTGCAGCCTGTTTGGCTCGGCAGTGGGCGGGTGGGTTTCATATTGCGGGCGGGATACCGCCTCAGGACGGCGCGGGCCAGCGGGCCGCCGATAGTCATACCGAAAAGGGTTCGCATCACATTCTTCATTTCTTTCTCAGCATCTACGTCACAGGCGATAGTGACGACCAGGGCTATCCAGGGCGCCCTTCACTTCAGACTCGGGGGCCCCATGACAGCCCAAGGGGCGCGATAGACGAGCCCAGAGAGGCCCACGAGGCCCCCGGGAACCCAAAAGAAGTCACCAAACGGCCCAAGAGTTCCCCAAGACGGCCCAACAGGCCTCCAAAGAGGCCTCCCAAGAGAGCCCCGAGAGGCCAAAATCGTTGTCTTTCGTTGGTTATTTCGAGGTTTGTTGCTTCCTCGCTTTCTCGGCTTCCCGACGCTCCGAAACCCCTCCAGAGGCATCCAAGACAGCTCCAAGACTGTCCACGAGGTCCCCCAGAGGACCCCCGGACGGTCCAAGAGGGCCCCAAGACGGTCCAAGGCGGCCCCAGGACGGCCCCAGAGGCGCCCAAGACAGGCCAACGGGACCCCAAGATGGCCCGAAGAGCGGCCCAAGATGGCTCCGAGACGGCCCGAGGACCGCCCAAGAAGGCCTTCGAAGGCCCCACGACAGCCCAAGGGGCGCGATAGACGAGCCCAGAGAGGCCCACGAGGCCCCCAGGAGCCCAACAGAGGCCTCCAAGAGGTGCCACGGGGTTTCCAAACTGCTTCGAAGAGAAGGGGGCGGACCAGGGGACCGCCTCAGGAACGGCCCGATAGGCCTCCCAAGAGGCCTCCCGAGAGAGCCCCGAGAGGTCAACATTGTTGATTTTCATTGGTTCTTCCGAGGTTTTTCGCTTCCACGCTTTTCCGGCTTCCCGACGCTCCGAACCCTTCCAGAGGCATCCAGGACCGATCCAAAACGGTCCAAGAGGTTCCCAAGAGGACCCCCAGACGGTCCAAGGAAAAAGATGTATTTCCCATGGAAAACGAGCCACTTTCGAGTTCCTGATGACGAGGTTCCCTGCCAGCTCCCAGTGCGTACTTCTCCCCGCGCCCTCGCGTTTTTTTCAATTGCCTCGGGCCCCCTGTCCGGCCCTTCTGGCGCCTCGGGGCCCTCTTCCGGCCCTCCGCGGCCTCCTCCGGGCTCTCTTGGGATTTCTCCCGGCGCTCCGAGATGCTTCCGGAGGCGCCCTGCAAGCTCAGCGGCCTCCCCCGCGCGCCCAAAAATTGCAACTTCGACGTCCCTGGAAGCGCAGCAGCCTCCCCCGTTCCTGCTGACGAGGTTCCCTGCGAGCTCCCGGTGCGTGCTTTTCCCCGCGCCTTCGCGTTCTTTGCGGTCCCACCAGGGGCTGGGTACTGTTCGTTTTGAGCGCCCCTCAAAACGAACACCTGGAAGCCCTTTCTGGTTCCGTCCTGGCGCCCTCGAGGCCCTTCCCCAGACGGCCTTGAAACCGCGAGGAGCTCCCCAAAGGATCCCAACAACATCTCAGGAACTTTAAAGAGAGCCCCAAGAGACGCCTAGGAAGGCCCCGCGAGAGGCCGCGCTATGTTCGTTTCGAGCGCTCCTAAACACGAATACCACGAAGCTCTTTTTGGTTCCGTCCTGGCGCCCTCGGAGGCCCCTACCGAGACGGCCTTGAAGCCGCGAGGAGCCCCCAAAAGGAGCCCAAGAAGATCTCAGGAACTTCGAAGAGAGCCCCGACAGAGGCCAAGGAAGGCCCCGCGAGAGGCCGCGCTCTGTTCGTTTTGAGCGCCCCTCAAAACGAACACCATGAAGCTCTTTTCGGTTCCGCCCTGGCGCCCTCGAGGCCCCTACCGAGACGGCCTTGAAGCCGCGAGGACCTTCCCAAAGGAGCCCAAGAAGATCTCAGACGCTTCGAAGAGAGCCCCGAGAGACGCCTGGGAAGGCCCCACCAGGGGCTGGGCACTGTTCGTTTGGAGCGCCCCTCAAAACGAACACCTGGAAGCTCTGTTTTGTTCCGTCCTGGCGCCCTCGAGGCCCGTCCCGAGACGGCCTTGACACCGCGAGGAGCTCCCCAAAGGATCCCAAGAAGATCTCAGGAACTTCGCGAAGAGAGCCCCGAGAGAGGCATAGGAAGACCCCGCGAGAGGCCGCGCTCTGTTCATCTTGAGCGCCCCTCAAAACGAACACCACGAAGCTCCCTTTGGTTCCGTCCTGGCGCCCTCGAGGCCCCTACGGAGACGGCCTTGAAGCCGCGAGGGCCCCTACGGAGACGGCCTTGAAGATCGCAGACGCTTCGAAGAGAGCCCGAGAGAGGCCAGGGAAGGCCCCACCAGGGGCTGGGCACTGTTCGTTTTGAGCGCCCCTCAAAACGAACACCTCGAAGCTCACTCTGCTTCCCTCCGTCCTGGCGCCCTCGAGGCCCCCGAGACGGCCTTGCCGCCGAAGATCGCAGACGCTTCGAAGAGAGCCCGAGAGAGGCCGCCCCACCAGGGGCTGGGCACTGTTCTTTGAGCGCCCCTCAAAACGAACACCTCGAAGCTCATTTGGTTCCGTCCTGGCGCCCTCGCGGCCCCTACCGAGACGGCCTTGCCGCGAGGAGCTCCCAAAGGAACCCAAAAAGATTCGAAGAGAGCCCCCCCCCAGAGGCGCAGGAAGGCCCCGCGAGAGGCCGCGCTCTGTTCGTTTTGAGCGCCCCTCAAAACGAACGCCATGAAGCTCTTCTTGGTTCCGTCCTGGCGCCCCGGAGGCCCCTACCAAGAGGGCCTTGAAGCCGCGAGGAGCCACCCAGAGGGGCCCAAGAAGATCTCCTCAAAACGAACACCTCGAAGCTCATTCTGGTTCCGTCCTGGCGCCCTCGAGGCCCCTACCAAGACGGCCTTGAAGCCGGGGGGGGCTTCCCAAAGGAGCCCAAGAAGATCTCAGACGCTTCGAAGGGAGCCCGGGAGAGGCCTGGGAAGGCCCCACCACGGGCTGGGCATTGTTCGTTTTGAGCGCCCCTCAAAACGAGCACCTGGAAGCTCTGTTTTGTTCCGTCCTGGCGCCCTCGAGGCCCCTCCCGAGACGGCCTTGAAACCGCGAGGAGCCCCCGAAAGGAACCCAAAAAGATCTCAGGAACTTCGAAGAGAGCCCCCAGGAGAGAGGCCTAGGAAGACCCCGCGAGAGGCCGCGCTCTGTTCGTTGTGAGCGCCCCTCAAAACGAACACCACGAAGCTTTCTGGGGTTCCGCCCTGGCGCCCTCCAGGCCCTTATCGAGACGGCCTTGAAGCCGCGAGGAGCTTCCCAAAGGAACCCAAGAATATCTCAGGAACTTCGAAGAGAGCCCCGAGAGAGGCCGAGGAAGACCCCGCGTGACTGGGCCCTTCCGACGCCTTCGACGCAATCGCATTTTTTTGACGCCTTGCCGAAGGGTGTTGTCGCGCTGCGTTCCAGCGCTGCAGAGGGACAGGCGGGAGAACCCGAAGGAGAGGAGAAAGAAGAGGAAGATGAGGGACAGGATGAGAGGGACGAGGATGATCAGGAGGGCACTGAGAAGGATGAGGGAGTCAGGAGGAGGAGGAGGAGGAGGAGGAGGAGGACGACGAGGAGCAGGAGGAGGAGGAATAGGAGGAGGAGGAGGAGGAGGAGGAGGAGGAGGAGGAGGAGACGGAAACGGAGGAGCAGGAGGAGGAGGAACAGGAGCAACAGAAGGATAATGAGGTGGATGGGAAGACATCCATGTTCTTCTCCCCCGGCGGCTCCATCGCGCCTCCGTTCCCAATGCGTTTTGCACATGGCCCGATCGAGCCTCCTCATCTCCCATGCTCCCCAATCAGGCGGCGCTCAAGGTGCTCGGCGACATGTGGAAGGCGAGCCTGACGCCATCCATCGTGATCGCCTGACGGCAGCGCCTCATCACTTCGCAAGTGGACGTAGTCCACGGGTACACCCTAGTCAGCTACAGTGCTGGGATCAGTGCGTGCGAGAAGGGCGAGCAGTGGCAGCGGGCGCTTGCGCTGCTGAGCGAGATGTGGGAGGCGATCTTAGAACCCAACGTCACCTTCTATAATGCCGGAACTTCTGCGTACGAGAAGGTGCTGTGCACGAATCGCCCCCTTTTCCCTCCGGGAGGCCCCGGGAGGCCGAAAAGCGCCCCCGGGCCAGCTCCGACAGCCCTGCGTCGGGAGCCTTGAGACGGGGGTCAATGCACACGGGGGTCAGCCAGAGCGCCAGATCCTGCAGGATCCTGCGAAGACCCCCTCTGGCTGACCCGGGTCAGCGAGCGCTGCAGTTTTTTGGCTCCTGCATTGCAGTGTTTGGTTTCCTGCTGACCCGGGTCTGGGTTGACCCGGGTCAGAATATCCCCGACTGCGGGCCTCGCGGCCATGCCCCACGCACGGCTCAGCAAGGCCCAGAGATTGCCGAAGAGGCGCCCAAAAACGGCGCCTCGGGCCACGCCCCCGACACGGCCCAGCGGAGCCCGAAGACAGCCGAAGAGAAGCGCCCACGACGGCCCAGGAGGCACCCGCGACGGCACAAGAGAGTCCCAAGAAGTCCTCTCCAAGAGGGCATAGCTAGCGACGCCCAAAGCATGATTTCCGACGGGTTTTCAAGAGTTCCGACGTCTTCGCCTTGTCGGGCTTCCGATGCTACATGGTGGCCCCCCACGCGGCTCCCGATGTCGCCCCACGGCGGCACAGCAGGCCCCCGAGAGGGCCCCCTGGCAGCCCAAGACGGCCTCAAGGTGGCCCGCGAGGACCATGACGGTCCCAAGAGGGACCCAAGAGCGCCCCACGGGGGGCCTTGGGCCACGCTGCGTGTATTGCCCAGCGAAGCACACGGACGACCGCAGAGGCGTCCACGACGGCTTCAACTGCCCGGGAGGCTCCCAGGACGGCCCAAGGCAGTTCCAAGAGGCCCCTCGAGAGGGCCCAGCGAAGCCCAAATGTGTGTGCGTGTGTGCGCGTGTGCATGTGTGTGTGTTTCCGATGGGTTCTGCAGGATTCTGACGTTCTCGCCTGTTCGGGCTTCCGATGCTACGCGATGGCCCAAGCGGCCCTCGACCTCGCCCCAGGGCGGCACGGCAGGCCCCCGAGAGGGGCCCCAGGGCAGCCCCGGACGGCCTCAGGACGGCCCGGGAGGGTCCAGAACGGCCCACGAAGACCAAAGAGGGCGCCCAGAGCGCCCCGACGGGGAGCCTCGGGCCGTGCCCCCGACGCTGCCCAGCGGAGCCCGGAGGCGGCCGAAGAGGCGCCCGAGACCCAACGGCCCAGGATCAGGAGGGAAAGAAACACACAGACACAATTAATCGTCGACTCCCCAGAAAATATAGGAAAATATGGGAAGTGGTGGGGAAGACAACACCCCGAAAATATGTGAAAATATGGGGGATCTTTTTATTTGTGCGTATTTATTGTTGTGTCCCAGGGCCCCTTCACAGGAGGCCCCCACGACGGCCCAGAGGAGTCCCGAGATGCCCGCCAAGAGGGCCCACAGAACCAAGCATCCGTGATTTGCCGTGACGTTTCGAAGGATCTCGATGTTCACGCCTGTGGGCGTTCGATGCTACACGATTGCCCGAAGCGGCCCTCAGTATCGCCCCAAAGAGGCCCAACAGGCCCTCAAGAGGGCCCCACATGCCCCCATGCAGCCCAAGACGGCCTCAGGGCGGTTCAAGAGTGACCCCAAACGGACCATACCGGCCCCAAGAGGGCCCCAAGGGGGGGAAGTGGCACCAGCATGTCGCACCCTCCGCCCCAAGACGACCCCCGAGACCGCAAGCAGATCCCAAGGAAGCCCTCTCTCTCTCTCTCTCCTCTTCTTGACCGTTGCTTCCCTTCCCGCTCCTTGCTCCTGAACCCTTGCTGATCGCTCCTCGCTCCCTTCCCTCCCTCGACCCTGACTCCTCGCTCCTCGGTCCACTCACGGACTCCAGGTTGCGTCAGCTGGCACGGGTCTCCCAAAAAACAGTATGCAGCCTCGAGGGGCAACAGCGAGCAGCAGCAGTCCGCGGCAAGCAGCGGCAACACACAACCAAAGTCCGCAGAAACAGCAGCATGCCGCATGCAGCACCACCCTGCAGCTGCAGGGAGCAACAGCAGAGGCGAAGTTCGGGCCAAACGTTCTCGCGAAAGACTTTCGGCGACATCTCTGCCCTGGTCCCACGTGTCATCTCGGACAGATGGCCAGTAGGCCACGGGTCAGCCTCAGTCAGCTACAGCGCTGGCATCACCGCGTGCGAGAAGGGCGTGCAGTGGCAGCGGGCGCTGGCACTGCTTAGCGAGATGCGGGATGCGAAGCTTGAGCCCAACGTCGTCACATATAGCTCGTGGATTAGCGCGTGCGAGCAGGGCGAGCACTGGCAGCGGGCGCTGGCGCTCTTGAGCGAGATGAAGGAGGTGAAGCTGGAGCCCGACGTCATCAGCTACAGCGCTGGGGTCAGCGCGTGCGAGAAGGGTGGGCAGTGGCAACAGGCGCTGAGCATTCTCAGAACCATGCGTCTGAGAAAGTTGGAAATTGGCTTCACGGCCTACGGAACCACAGCCAGCATGTGCGAGCAAGGCGGGCAATGGAGCCAAGTGATGTTTTTGCTGAGGGAGGTGCGTGACTTGGTTACCTGGGAATGATACAATGCATGCCGTGTCCGATACACTTCTTTGGGTTCAGTTGCATCGCTTGGACCAGCTCGTGGGAGATGGGCGAGCAATGGCCGACGGCTGTGGCGCTGTTGAGCGAGGTGTGGGAGGCGAAGCAGCTGGAGCCCGAAGCCATCTATGACCCAGAGTTGCACCCCCCCCTCCTCCTCCTCCTCCCCCCCCCCTCCTCCTCCTCCTCCTCCTCCTCCTCCTCCTCCTCCTCCTCCTCCTCCTCGTCCTCCTCCTCCTCCTCCTCCTCGTCCTCCTCCTCCTCCTCCTCGTCCTCCTCCTCCTCCTTCTCCTCCTCCTCCTCGTCCTCCTCCTCCTCCTCGTCCTCCTCGTCCTCCTCGTCCTCCTCGTCCTCCTACCCCCGATGCGTGTGGGATCGGGCCCCCCCTCCCTCCCTGGACGTGTACGTCCGTGAGCCTGCGAAGGCCTCGCGACGGGGGTCGCTCCCCCCCCCTAGCCTGTGGCCGCGGCCCTGTGGGCGCGGCGTGGTGGCAGGTGCTGGTGCTCCCTCCCTCCCCCACTGCGGGTGTTGGGTGGTTCGTCGTCGTCGTCGTCGTATGTCGTCGTCGTCGTCGTCGTCGTCGTCGTCGTCGTCGTCGTCGTCGTAGTCGTAGTCGTAGTCGTAGTCGTAGTCGTCCGCCGCCGTCGTCGCCGCCGCCGTCGCCGTCGTCGTCGTTGTCGTCGTCGTCTTCGTCGTCGTCGTGGTCGTCATCTTCCGTCGTCATCGGCGTCGGCATCGGCGTCTGCGTCGTCGTCATTGGCGTCGTCGTCGCCATCGTCGGCGTCGGCGTCGGCGTCTGCGTCGTCGTCGTCGTCGCCGTCTCCGCCCCCTCCCCATCCCGTCCAGCGAGCCCAACACGTAGCAACGAAAGTGTCACGAATTCCGGAGTTGAGAGGCTGCGGATGAGGAATAACTCGGGTCTCAAGTGCAACCTCTTCCGGACAAGCTGCCAGCAGAGAGGACCCAGTTCAAGAGGACCAAGGACTTGCAAAGACCAGATGCATGTGTCACGGAATACCCCACGGAGGTGGTGAACATGCCAAATGACCAGGACAATCGTATGCACGAAGAGATCCAGACCTGGCTGGCATTGAGTTGGCAGGCGCGTCCTGCGTTTGGACGGCCTCCAGGCCAGTGGGTGGGCCAGCCAGCCAGCCACTCAGTCCGTCGTCATCGGCTTCCGCGGTGAGTTGATCTTGCTCATGCAGTCTGCCCCTGGCTCTTACTGCCCACCGCGCCGCCAGCAGATCCCAGCAGCACGGCACTAGGGCAACACGCTGGAGGACAGCCTCAGGGCACCCACATCCAGGAGTGCGCTGCACGATTGGTGCCATTTGCACGGCGTTGAGGAGCACTATGGGCTGCCGCGGTGCGACGCTGAGCAACACGACGAGCACCAACAGCACGACGCTGGCAGCACGACGACGAGCAGCACCGCGGACTCAGCGTGCTGCCCAGATCCGCCGCGCCGCCTCCGACTCCGGCTCCGACTCCGGCACCTACCCCAACTCCGACCCCAGCTTTAGGTCGGGCGTGTCCCTTTACACGAGGAACCTTCAGAAATAGTCCTCAAATAGTCGGGGGATCATTTTCCGATCATTCTGCGAGTATGTTTTGAACATATGTTGGGGGTATTGCTTATTTTTCGTCCCACATCCGCCTGCATGGGGACACGCCCGACCTAACCCCAGCTCTGTCGCCATCTCCTCAACCAACTCCGTTCGCAGCTCCGGGTACGGCTCCGACGCCGTCTCCGACTCCAGCCCCGAGGCCAGCTTGCTCCGTGAGTCCTGACATCGACCCCGACGGCGACTCCAGCGCCCAGACTGGCGGCAGCTCCCAAATCCGTCACTGCCACTGCCACGGCTAGCAGCTCCACTCCCATGACCACGATAATCATCACCAACGCAACCTCCATGAGCACAACCTCTCCCGAGGATGGGCTGGCAACCCTTAGCCCTCGTCGATGGGATGCTGTATGAGCGGCTGTTCCCGACACCGGCAACGACGCCAGCTCCGACGCCAGCGCGGTGACCATCATGTTGGGAGCACTAACAAGCTCCAGACACCAGAGGGTGGAAAGGGTCTCGGGCGCCAGTCGCACGACGTTCGCCGCCCTTCGACTTTGCCATCCGCACGAGCTGAGGACCAGGCTCGTCGAGTTCCGAGGGCATCACGGCCCTTGGCGAGTCCGGCTGCGAGGCTCGCCACATGTTGCTGGCTCCTCCCTCCCCCGTCCTGCTGCTTCCTGCTGCCTGTGTTTCCTGCGCGCGCCGCCTGGCCCCGCTCCGAGCGGGCCCAGCTTTCGTCTCCCTCCCGCCCCCGCCGGGCGCCTCCTCCTCCTCTCCGCCTCGTGCACCGCGGCTTGATGGGCGTTCGGATGCCCTGCCCATGCGTCTATCCGCCAGCGCAGTCCCTCTGCCGAGCAGCCGACGCAAAAGGTCTTTGCTGCTTTTGTTCTGTCTGCGTGCCCCGCTGGCCTCCTCGCGGCTGCCGTCGCGCGGCCCCGCCGTGGCTGCGGCGCCGCGGGCCCGGCTCTGCCGCCGCCCCCCCAGGGGCTTCCAGGCCACTCGAGTGTGCTGCTGCGCCCTGCCAGTGTGATGGCATAGATCACCACCCACCAAACCACCCCAACCCAACCCGAAGGCTTCAATTTGCCCTCCATTTCCAGTGGGGAGGGATCGGGGAACATCGAAAAAACACATGGTCCCCGTACCCCCCCCAACCCGAAATTCGGGTCAAATTCGTGTCTCCGGGTTGGGTTGGGGTGGTCTGGTAGGTAGTCCATAGACGTGCATGGCTTCACGACCTTGCCGAACGGGGTGCTTTTTCCGCAGCTGCAGTCTTAAGTCGGGCACGTCCCTCTACAGGAGGAAAGTTCAAACACAGTTTGTAGGAATGGCCTGGGGATGATATTTCGAGTATGTTCGACGACTTCTGTTTTTGTTGACCATCTATGATCTGTCGTCCAAAATACGCCTGTAGAAGGGCATGCCCGACCTTCGTAGTATGCCCGACCTTCCTGTAGTCCTGCACGTCCTCTTCAGCTGCTCACCCGCACGTGGGGCCTGTTGGCTGTGATCGTACCGTCCCCCTCCTACGTCTGCCCCCTCTGTTACCGCTCCTCCTCCCTTTCATCTGGGGCACGGGTCCCTTCTTCAGTCGAGCGTTTTTTTCCCCAATTCATTTTGCGTCGGTGTTGGGAGGCGGTGGGGTAGTCCATGGCGCTGTTCGCACGCCGCCACAGGAAGCGGCTCTACACTTGATGGCCCTCTCCCTCTCCTCATCCTCCTCCTCCTCCTCCTCCTCCTCCTCCTCCTCCTGCTCCCCCTCCCCCTCCTCCTCCTCCTCGTCCTCCTCCTCCTCCTCCTCCTCCCTTCCCTCTGCATGGAAACTGCCCGGTAATTCTTTACGTCCGCTTGCTTTGTGCAGGAGCGCAGCGAGACCCCACCCATCATTCCTGACGCAACGTCGTCCGGGAGCACTGTCGCTTGGGACACTGTGTAGTTTATTAGCGTTGGCAGTGCTCTCAGGATTGCTTCGCGGTGGTGCTTTGTCGGGGTGCTGTCCGCTCCATCTCCTCCCTCCGCCCAAACAACTATCCCATTTGGGAGTGGGGCGGCTGCAGAACACTGGGACCCATCCCATCTGGGGGGGGGGGGGGGCGACCAGGGATCATACCGGGGAGGAGGAGGAGGAGGAGGAGGAGGAGGAGGAGGAGTAGGAGGAGCAGGAGGAGCAGAAGGAGCAGGAGGAGCAGGAGGAGCAGGAGGAGCAGGAAGAGGAGGAGGAGTAGGAGCAGGAGGAGGAGGAGGAGGAATAATAATAGTTATGGCAATAAGAATAGCAGCAATAATGATAATGCGAATACATATAATAGTACTAATAATAACAAGAATACTACTACTACTACTACTACTACTACTACTACTACTACTACTACTACTACTACTACTACTAATACTAATAATAATAATAATAATAATAATAATAATAATAAAGTAATAATAACAATAATAATAATAATAGTAATAGTAGTACTAATGACACTAGTAGTAGTAGTAGTAGTAGTAGTAGTAGTAGTAGTAGTAGTAGTAGTAGTAGTAGTAGTAGTAGTAGTAGTAGTAGTAGTAGTAGTAGTAGTAGTAGTAGTAGTAGTAGTAGTAGTAGTAGTAGTAGTAGTAGTAGTAGTAGTAGAAGTAGCAGCAGTAGTAGTAGTAGGAATACAAATAATGGTAATAGTAATAGTAAGAGTAATATTAATAGTAGTATTGGTAGTAGAAGAAGAAGAAGTATAAGTATAAGTAGACGTAGCAGTAGTAGAAGTCGAAGTAGAAGTAAACATATAAGTAGAAGTAGATGCAGAAGTAGAAGTAGTAGTCGTAGTCGTAGTCGTAGTCGTAGTCGTAGTCGTAGTCGTAGTCGTAGTCGTAGTAGTAGTAGTGGTAGTGTAGTAGTAGTAGTAGTAGTAGTAGTTAGTAGTAGTAGTAGTAGTAGTAGTAGTAGTAGTAGTATTAGTAGTAGTAGTAGTAGTAGTAGTAGTTGTGGTAGTAGTAGTAGTCGTAGTAGTAGTAGTAGTAGTAGTAGTAGTAGTAGTAGTAGTAGTAGTAGTAGTAGTAGTAGTAGTATTTGTAGTAGTAGTAGGAGTAATAGTAGTAGTAGTGGTAATACTAAGAATAATGATATGGGTACTAGCAATACTACTACTACTACTACTACTACTACTACTACTACTACTACTACTACTACTACTACTACCACTACTACTACTACTACTACTACTACTACTACTACTAGTAGTAGTAGTAGTACTAATACAAATAATGATAACACGAATACGAAACATATGAATGAGAAGAAGAAAAAGAATGAGAAAACTGATAATGAAACAAATACGAATAATACGAAGTAATATGAATAATGATAATAATAAGAATAGTACTAATAATAAGAATAAGACTAATAATATGATGATGCTGATGTGGAGGAGGAGGAGGAGGAGGTGGTGGAGGAGGAGGAGGACGGAGAGGGAGTGGCGGAGGAGGGGGAGGGGAGGAGGAGGAGGAGGAGGAGGAGGAGGAGGAGGAGGAGGAGGAGGAGGAGGCGGAGGAGGAGGAGGAGGAAGAGGAGGAGGAGGAGGAGGGGAACAGCGGCTTCGACCAGAGATCAGACCGGGCTCAGAGCGCGCCAGACGGGCGATTGGCTCCCCGCCCGCTGGGCCCCTCTGTGGCGGCGCCTCCGCGGCCACCTGCCCCGAGAGAGAGCCCGGCGAGGGCGTTCATTTTCATTGTTTACTGTTACACCCTTTGCGTTTCCCGCCGTTTCGGCGGTCCGATGCACCAAGAGGCCCCAGAAAGTCCCAGGAGGGTCCGAGGAACCGCCCAGGAAGGCCCCAAGACGGGCCAAGACGGACCCAGCACAACCCAAGGCGCGCTGCGACGGCTCAAGACGGCTCCAAGACAGCCCCAAGAGGGTGCCAACACGGCCCCTGCTGGGCCCAGGACGGCCCAAGGAGGCGCACAGGAGGGGCCCAAGACGACTCCAAGGCGGCCTCCTCACGGTCCCAGACGGCTCCAAGACAGCCCCACGAGGACCCCGATGGGCCCAGGACGGCCTACGGACGCGCCCATGAGGGGCCCACGACGAACCAAGACGGCCCCATCAGGGCAAACGGCGCCCTCAAGACGGGCCTAGACGGCTCCAAGACGGCCCTTTGAGGGAGCCAACGCGGCCCCACACCCTTCGGGCGCACACTTGGGGGGGCTGGGAGCTTGCGACAAGTCTCCCACATTCATTGTCCTGCCCCATTCTGTTCGCCTGGAGGCCTCCTCCAACCCTGTGGGCGAACAAGAGGAATCCCAGCGGGACGCCAACCCTGGGGCCCGTGGGCCCCGCGCCGCTTGGGCAGAAGACGAACGCCGGGTCTGACAGGCCAGCTACCGCCCCCCTTTGCCCGATATGCTGTGCCATTCTGTTCCCCCAGGGGCCTTGGCAAACTCTTCGGGCCAAGCAGACCGGACCCCTGGGACAGCAGCCAATTGATATGACCCTGGGACCTCTCCGCATTCTTCGGACGAGCATCTGGGGGGCCCAGGAGATTCGGACATGTCTTCCCCATTCCTTGCCCTGTCCCGTTCTGTTCGCCCGAAGGCCTCCACAGACCCTCTGGGCGAACAGAATGGGACATGGCGAACAAACCCTCCCGTTGGCGGTGATGCGACTGGATCGCACCATCAAGGCGCGCCCGGAGGTGATGGCCGACCCAACAGCGGTTTCTCTTAAGAGTTCACTGGATTTCAAATTTTCTTGAAGCTCTCTTGGGCCCTCCCTGTAGATCCTTGCGAGCCTCCCCGGCGCTTTCGGTGGCTTTCCCCGATGGCCTCCCGAGCCCTTCCCCGAGCGCTCCTGAGACGCCTCAGATGGGCTTCGACTTCGACGCACATCCCCGAGAGACTTCGAAACTGTCCTCAATAGGAGGGGGGTGAACGAGCAGTGCGCTGGGCCAAGCTGCTGCAGCGCTGCAAGAGCTCGGACACGAAGGCGCGGTCTCGCTGCCGCCGCCCGAGCCGCCGCCGTGTTTGTAGATTTTCGGTACAATCTGCGCCGTTCCTCCGAGAACCATTCCAGAAAGATGTCGTGGACGGAGTCCACGGGTCAGCCCTAGTCAGCTACAGCGCTGGGATCAGCGCGTGCGAGAAGGGCGAGCAGTGGCAGCCGGCGCTTGCGCTGCTGAGCGAGATGTGGGAGGCGAAGCTGGAGCCCGACGTCATCAGCTACAGCGCTGGGATCAGCGCGTGCGGGAAGAGCGAGCAGTGGCATCGGGCGCTTGCGCTGCTGAGCGAGATGCGGGAGGCGCAGCTGGAGCCCAACGTCATCAGCTACAGCGCTGGGATCAGCAGCGCCGCGAACGTTGGCCCCAACCATGACACCCTGACGAGGCCCTCCAACGTGGCCCTCAAACGAGGCCCCCCAACGTAGCGCCCAACTCTGGCCCCCACGCGTCCACCCCCACATCGAACTTCTCGCGCACAGGGACTCTGTAAGATCGTTCGGGCCCCCTTACTCTGATTGCGTCTGAAAACCTATGTGTTTCTGCTAATCGCGCCCAGGCCTCGCGCGATTAGCAAAAACACATTACTTTTGACGCTTCCAGTGCTTCCGACACGTGCGCGTTCGGGACCAATGCCTGGACCTGCGGGCCGTGGATTTTCCACGGGTTCACACTAGTCTATACTATATGGCCGGAGGAAGCGCGTGCCAGAAGGAAATCCAGCCAAATGCAGGGAAACGGCTCCGAGACGCTCCAGAGGCCGCCCCGACGGCCCAAAGACGGCTCCGAGCCGCTCAAGATGCCCCGAAGGCGGCCCAACGGGGCCCCGAGACGCGCAATGATCTGGCCAAGACGCCCAAGATTGGCCCAAGACGGCCCAAGAGCTCGCCAAGACGGCCCAATAGGCCTCCCAAGAGGCATCCCAGGAGAGGCCCGAGAGGCCAAAATCGTTGATTTTCATTGGTTTCCCCGAGGTTTTTTGCTTCCTCGCTTTTTCGGCTTCCCGACGCTCCGAAACCCTCCCAGAGGCATCCAAGACCGCTCCAAGACGGTCGACGAGGTCCCCAAGAGGACCCCAAGATGGTCCAAGAGGGCCCCAAGACGGTCCAAGGCGGCCCCCGGACGGCCCCAGAGGCGCCCAAGACAGGCCAACGGGACCCCAAGATGGCCCGAAGAGCGGCCCAAGATGGCTCCAAGACGCCCCGAGGAACCGCCCAGAGCTCGCCAAGACGGCCCAATAGGCCTCCCAAGAGGCATCCCAGGAGAGGCCCGAGAGGCCAAAATCGCTGATTTTCATTAGTTTCCCCGAGGTTTTTTGCTTCCTCGCTTTTTCCGCTTCCCGACGCTCCGAAACCCCCCCAGAGGCATCCAAGACCGCTCCAAGACGGTCGACGAGGTCCCCAAGAGGACCCCAACACGGTCCAAGAGGGCCCCAAGACGGTCCAAGGCGGCCCCCGGACGGCCCCAGAGGCGCCCAAGACAGGCCAACGGGACCCCAAGATGGCCCGAAGAGCGGCCCAAGATGGCTCCAAGACGCCCCGAGGACCGCCCAAGAAGGCCCTAGGGGGCCCCAAGACAGCCCAAGGGCCGCGATAGACGAGCCCAGAGAGGCCCAAGAGGCCCCCAGGAGCCCAAAAGAGGCCCCCAAGAGGTGCCACGGGGCTTAAAAACTGCTTTGAAGCGAGGGGGGCGGACGAGGGGACCGCCTCAGGAGGTTTTGGAAGGATTTTGGCCTTCTCGCCTTTTCCGCCTTCCGACGCTCGAAGACGGCCCAAGAGGCCTCCAAGAGCGCCCCAGAACGGCCCAAGAGGTTTCTAAGAGCGCCCCAAGACAGCCCAAGAGGGCCCCAGGACGACCCAAGAGACGCTCAAGACGGCCCACGAGGGCCCGAAGACAGGCCCAAGAGGGGAACAAGAGAAGGACCACGGACCGAAACTCCGAGCCTTCCGCCCCAAGAGGGCGCCAGGAGGCCCAAACAGGCCCCCAAGAGGCCCCAAGGGGCCGCCAAGAATCCCCCGAACAGGCCCCAGGAAGCTCCCAAGGAGCCCAAAACGAGGCCCCAACAGAGGCCCCAACAGCTTCCAAAATGGCCCCAAAGAGGCCTCGAGCCCGCCTCCGAGCTTCCTCGCCGCGAGGGTGCCAACACGGCCCCAGACGGGCCCAGGACGGCCCAAGGCGCGCTCAAGACGGCCCAAGACGATTCCAAGACGGTCCCAGGAGGGTGCGCCCAGGACGGCCCAAGGACGCGCCCGGTCGGGGCCTCAAGACGGGCCAAGATGGCAAGAGAGCCCCAGCTGGCAAAAATCGTTTATTTTCCATTGTTTACTCTGACACCCTTTGCGTTTCCCGCCGTTTCGGCGGTCCGATGCACCAAGAGGCCCCAGAAAGTCACAGGAGGGTCCGAGGAAACGCCCAGGAAGGCCCCAAGACGGGCCAAGACGGACCCAGCACAACCCAAGGCGCGCTGCGACGGCTCAAGACGGCTCCAAGACAGCCCCAAGAGGGTGCCAACACGGCCCCTGCTGGGCCCAGGACGGCCCAAGGAGGCGCACAGGAGGAGGCGGCCCCCTCACGGTCCCAGACGGCTCCAAGACAGCCCCACGAGGACCCGATGGGCCCAGGACGGCCTACGGACGCGCCCATGAGGGGCCCACGACGAACCAAGACGGCCCCATCACGGCAAACGGCGCCCTCAAGACGGGCCTAGACGGCTCCAAGACGGCCCTTTGAGGGAGCCAACGCGGCCCCACACCCTTCGGGCGCACACTTGGGGGGGCTGGGAGCTTGCGACAAGTCTCCCACATTCATTGTCCTGCCCATTATGTTCGCCTGGAGGCCTCCTCCTGGGCGAACAAGAGGCGCTCCGAAACCCTCCCAGAGGCATCCAGGACCGCTCCAAGACGGTCGACGAGGTCCCCAAGAGGACCCCAAGACGGTCCAAGAGGGCCCCAAGACGGTCCAAGGCGGCCCCCGAACGGCCCCAGAGGCGCCCTAGACAGGCCAACGGGACCCCAAGATGGCCCGAAGAGCGGCCCAAGATGGCTCCAAGACGGCCCGAGGAACCGCCCAGAGCTCGCCAAGACGGCCCAATAGGCGTCCCAAGAGGCATCCCAGGAGAGGCCCGAGAGGCCAAAATCGCTGATTTTCATTAGTTTCCCGAGGTTTTTTGCTTCCTCGCTGTTTCGGCTTCCCGACGCTCCGAACCCCCCCCAGAGGCATCCAAGACCGCTCCAAGACGGTCGACGAGGTCCCCAAGAGGACCCCAACACGGTCCAAGAGGGCCCCAAGACGGTCCAAGGCGGCCCCCGGACGGCCCCAGAGGCGCCCAAGACAGGCCAACGGGACCCCAAGATGGCCCGAAGAGCGGCCCAAGATGGCTCCAAGACGGCCCGAGGACCGCCCAAGAAGGCCCTAGGGGGCCCCAAGACAGCCCAAGGGCCGCGATAGACGGGCCCAGAAAGGCCCAAGAGGCCCCCAGGAGCCCAAAAGAGGTCCCCAAGAGGTGCCACGGGGCTTACAAACTGCTTTGAAGCGAGGGGGGCGGACGAGGGGACCGCCTCAGGAGGTTTTGGACGGTTTGGGGCCTCAACATCATCCGCTTTACGACGGTTTTGGAAGGATTTTGGCCTTCTCGCCTTTTCCGCTTTCCGACGCTCGAAGACGGCCCAAGAGGCCTCCAAGAGCGCCCCAGAACGGCCCAAGAGGTTTCTAAGAGCGCCCCAAGACAGCCCAAGAGGGCCCCAAGACGACCCAAGAGACGCTCAAGACGGCCCACGAGGGCCCGAAGACAGGCCCAAGAGGGGGCCAAGAGAAGGACCACGGACCGAAACTCCGAGCCTTCCGCCCCAAGAGGGCGCCAGGAGGCCCAAACAGGCCCCCAAGAGGCCCCAAGGGGCCGCCAAGAATCCCCCGAAGAGGCCCCAGGAGGCTCCCAAGGAGCCCAAACGAGGCCCCAACAGAGGCCCCAACAGCTTCCAAAATGGCCCCAAAGAGGCCTCGAGCCCGCCTCCGAGCTTCCTCGCCGCGAGGGTGCCAACACGGCCCCAGACGGGCCCAGGACGGCCCAAGGCGCGCTCAAGACGGCCCAAGACGATTCCAAGACGGTCCCAGGAGGGTGCGCCCAGGACGGCCCAAGGACGCGCCCGGTCGGGGCCTCAAGACGGGCCAAGATGGCAAGAGAGCCCCAGCTGGCAAAAATCGTTTATTTTCCATTGTTTACTCTGACACCCTTTGCGTTTCCCGCCGTTTCGGCGGTCCGATGCACCAAGAGGCCCCAGAAAGTCCCAGGAGGGTCCGAGGAAACGCCCAGGAAGGCCCCAAGACGGGCCAAGACGGACCCAGCACAACCCAAGGCGCGCTGCGACGGCTCAAGACGGCTCCAAGACAGCCCCAAGAGGGTGCCAACACGGCCCCTGCTGGGCCCAGGACGGCCCAAGGAGGCGCACAGGAGGGGCCCAAGGACTCCAAGGCCCCCTCACGGTCCCAGACGGCTCCAAGACAGCCCCACGAGGACCTCGATGGGCCCAGGACGGCCTACGGACGCGCCCATGAGGGGCCCACGACGAACCAAGACGGCCCCATCACGGCAAACGGCGCCCTCAAGACGGGCCTAGACGGCTCCAAGACGGCCCTTTGAGGGAGCCAACGCGGCCCCACACCCTTCGGGCGCACACTTGGGGGGGCTGGGAGCTTGCGACAAGTCTCCCACATTCATTGTCCTGCCCCATTCTGTTCGCCTGGAGGCCTCCTCCAACCCTGTGGGCGAACAAGAGGAAACCCAGCGGGCCGCCAACCCTGGGGCCCGTGGGCCCCGCGCCGCTTGGGCAGAAGACGAACGCCGGGTCTGACAGGCCAGCTACCGCCCCCCTTTGCCCGATATGCTGTGCCATTCTGTTCCCCCAGGGGCCTTGGCAAACTCTTCGGGCCAAGCAGACCGGACCCCTGGGACAGCAGCCAATTGATATGACCCTGGGACCTCTCCGCATTCTTCGGACGAGCACCTGGGGGGCCCAGGAGATTCGGACAAGTCTTCCCCATTCCTTGCCCTGTCCCGTTCTGTTCGCCCGAAGGCCTCCACAGACCCTCTGGGCGAACAGAATGGGACATGGCGAACAAACCCTCCCGTTGGCGGTGATGCGACTGGAACGCACCATCAAGGCGCGCCCGGAGGTGATGGCCTACCCAACAGCGGTTTCTCTAAATATTTTACAGAATTTCAAATTTTCTTGAAGCTCTCTTGGGCCCTCCCTGTAGATCCTTGCGAGCCTCCCCGGCGCTTTCGGTGGCTTTCCCCGATGGTCTCCCGAGCCCTTCCCCAAGCGCTCCTGAGACGCCTCAGATGGGCTTCGACTTCGACGCACATCCCCGAGAGACTTCGAAACTGTCCTCAATAGGAGGGGGGTGAACGAGCAGTGCGCTGGGCCAAGCTGCTGGAGCGCTGCAAGAGCTCGGACACGAAGGCGCGGTCTCGCTGCCGCCGCCCGAGCCGCCGCCGTGTTTGTAGATTTTCGGTACAATCTGCGCCGTTCCTCCGAGAACCATTCCAGAAAGATGTCGTGGACGGAGTCCACGGGTCAGCCCTAGTCTATACTATATGGCCGGAGGAACCGCGTGCCGGAAGGAAAAAGGGCCAAATGCCGGGAAACGGCTCCGAGACGCTCCGGAGGCCGCCCCGACAGCCCAAAGACGGCTCCGAACCGCTCCAAGACGGCTCCGACCCGCTCACGATGCCCCGAAGGCGGCCCAAGAGGGCCCCGAGACGCGCACTGATCCGGCCAAGACGCCCGAGATTGGCCCAAAACGGCCCAAGAGCTCCCCAAGACGGCCCAACAGGCCTCCCAAGAGGCCTCCCAAGAGAGCTCCGAGAGGCCAAAATCGTTGACTTTCATTGGTTTTTTTCCGAGGTTTTTTGCTTCCTCGCTTTTTCGACTTCCCGACGCTCCGAACCCCCCCCCAGAGGCATCCAAGACCGCTCCAAGACGGTCGAAGAGGTCCCCAAGAGGACCCCAAGACGGTCCAAGAGGGCCCCAAGACGGTCCAAGGCGGCCCCAGGACGGCCCCAGAGGCGCCCAAGACAGGCCAACGGGACCCCAAGATGGCCCGAAGAGCGGCCCAAGACGGCTCCAAGACGGGCCCACAGGGCCGCCAAGTCGGCTCAACAGGCCCCCAGAGGCTGGCCCCGGGCCGCCCGGGGCCACCCAGACAGGCTCGGACACACGCCAAGACAGCCCCAAGAGGCCCAAGCCGGCCCGACAGGTCTCCAAGGTGCTCCGTGAGACCTCCCAGGAAGCTTCCCCAGAGAGCCCCGAACAGGAAAAAACATTGTTTTTCATTATTTTTGGCGGGGTTTTTGCCGTGCTCGCCTTGTCGGCTTCCATACGATCCACGACGGCCCAAGACGTTCCCAAGACGCCTCCAAGATGGCCGAAGAGGCCCCCAAAAGAGCCCCAAGACGGGCCCACAGGGCCTCCAAATCGGTTCAACAGGCCCCCAGAGGCTGGCCCCGGGCCGCCCAGACAGGCTCGAACACACGCCAAGAGAGCCCCAAGAGGCCCAAGCCGGCCCGACAGGTCTCCAAGATGTTCCGTGAGACCTCCTGGGAAGCTTCCCCAGATGGCCCCGAGCAGGAAAAAACATTGATTTTCATGTTTTTTTGCTGGGCTCTTGCCGTGCTCGCCTTTTCAGCTTCCACACGATCCACGACGGCCTCAGACGTTCCCCAGGCGCCTCCGAGACTAAGAGGCCCCCAAGAGAGACCCAAGACGGGCCCAGAGGGCCTCCAAGTCGGCTCAACAGGCCTCCAGATGGGCCCCAGACGCTCAAGATTGGTCCAAGATTGGCCCAAGCCGGCCCGAGAGGTCTCCAAGGTGCTCCGAGAGACCTCCCGGGAAGCTTCCCCAGAGGGCCCCAAGCAGGACAAAGCATTGACTTTCGTTGCTTTTTGCCGGGTTTTTGCGGTGCTCGCCTTCTCGGCTTCCAGGCGATTCAAGACCGCCCAAGGCGTTCCCAAGACGCCTCCCAGACGGCCGAAAAGGGACCCAAAGAGAGCCCCAAGACAGGCCCAGAGGGCCCCAAGTCGGCTCAACAGGCCCCCAGATGTGCCACACACGCTCGAGATTGGCCCAACATTGGCCCAAGCCGGCCCGACAGATCTCCAAGGTTCTCCATGGGACCTCCCCAGAAGCTTCCCCACAGGGCCCCGAGCAAGACAAATACAGGCCAGGAGCCTCCGAAGACAGCCCCAAAGAAGACAGCCCCAAGAGCCGCCCAAGACGGTCCAAGACGGCCCCCAGATCGCCCAAGAGGCGCCCAAGACGGCCTAAGACGGTTCCGAGACGGCCCGGACGGCACCGACGAGAGCCCAAGAGGGCTTCCAGAGTCCCCCTCGAAGCCGAGGGGTTCACCGCCATGTGGACAGCTTTTCAGCAGCATCCCCGCCGCTCCCCCAAGAATGCTCTCGGCCAGATGTCGTAGACGGAGTCCACGGGTCAGCCCTAGTCAGCTAGCGCGAAGGGCGAGCAGTGGCAGCGGGCCCAGGCGCTGCTGAGCGAGATGTGGGAGGCGAAGCTGGAGCCCAATGCCATCAGCTACAGCGCTGGGATCAGCGCGTGCAAGAAGGGCGAGCAGTGGCAGCGGGCGCTTGCGCTGCTGAGCGAGATGTGAGAGGCGAAGCTGGAGCACAACGTCATCAGCTACAACGCTGGGATCAGCGCGTGCGAGAGGGGCGAGCAGTGGCAGCGGGCGCTTGCGCTGCTGAGCGAGATGTGGGAGGCGCAGCTGGAGCCCAACGTCAATCTCGCTCTGTGCCCCAGACGACCTGATTGACCCGCCCTCTGGAGCCGTCCTTTGGGCCGCAGATCAAAAAAGTATCTTCGCTCCCACGGCCCAGAGCAGAGCTCGCCCTCCCGGGCTGCTGCGGGGCGCGCCACGCGGCTGCGCCCCGCGCGAGACAGACTCAACAAAGAGAAAACAAAAGGGAGAACAACAACAAAAAAACATGACGTAGACCTCGCCCTCCGAGGGTGCTGCATGGCGGTCGTGCGCAGGAGGTCCCTCGCCTAGTATACCTCAGAGGCGCACGCCAGTCCGCCGACCCGCAGACAAGGAGATGTGCGGCCTCCGACGCCGTAGGTGTTGTTTACTGTGTGCTGTCGTGCTGCCTGCGCGCATAGTTGTTTATGGTCTGTCCTCCTCTTCCTCCCCGTCTGTTGCGGGGCTTCGTGGGGACCTCTTTGGAGACCTTGGGGGCGGCCTCGTGGAAGCCTGCTCGGGGCTCCTGGTGGCTTGTTGGAGCCCTCGGGGCGCTTCCTGGGCGCCTCTTGGGGGCATGATGGGTGTCATGGGGCCTGCATCCATCCTGTGGGGAGGAGTGTGCCGAACTTGGCGCGGCGTCACCATCTGGGCCCTGCCGCTGGGGCCTTCCGTGGAGCTGCCCGTGGGGCAACGGCACGTGTGAGGGGTGTGCCGAACTGGGGGCGCATGCGCCATGCGGCTGCGCCAACTGCGACCGCAGGTGGAGCTCCGTAGTGGGCGCCACGACGCGTGCGAGGGGCGTGCAGGAATGGGGGCGGCGGCGGCCACGCGGCTGCGACCACTGAGACCGCAGGTGGTGCGGACGACCGACCCAGGACCAGACCAGGCGGGTGCAGGCCCGCAGCGGGTGTGTCCGCATCGCCCTCTCGAGGGCACGAAAAGTGGCAGCTCGCCAATCGACTTGGCAGGGCTGGGGTCTTATCTTAGCTGCCCCGATACGCAAGACGCAACACGTAGCGCAGGCGGGGCCGAGCCCGTGCCTGGCGACGGCGGCAGCGCCTCCTCGGCGCCGGGCGCCTCCTGTGACAGCGGCCTTGGGGGGGGGGAAGGCCGCCGCCCCGAGTCCTGCTCTCGCGCGCGCCCGAGCTTGCTGTTCCGCTTCGGGGGCGTTCAGGAGGTTCTGGCGGGCGCCGACTGTCAGCAGCTGCTCTCGCTTCGTTTCCGTGCCCCGGTGTCGCCGCTTCTGTGGTCGGTGTTCGAGTTTCGTGCTATTGCCGTCTCGAATGTTTTCCAGGAGCGAAGAGTGAGAACGAAACGAGGCAAGTGCGCCCCGGGGCCGACCGCGGTGCTCGCTCAAAGAACGGGCGCACATCCACCATGACAGCAGACAGCTGCAAACAAGATTACACAGACGCATCGGCGGGTCTTGCGTCGAGGTCCCGCCAAGGGGGGGGGGGTCCCAGGGGGGGTATGAGTTCGATCGGCTTTTGCACCGAACCGCCTAAATCAGAAGTCCACCAGCCGCAGGCGGCGGCTCCCAATAGTTGCGGACAGGTGGGGCATGCGGGGGGCATCTGTTTGCGGCAGTTCGGTGCACCAACAGATCGAACGCATGCCCCCCCTAAGGTTCCCCCCTTTTGGTGGAACCCCTTGTGGGCCGTGTCTGCATTTTTTGTGAATGCCTCCTCTCCCGGATCCTCCGTCCAGACCGACACGCCAGCCCTGCCCGAGCTTGCTGCCCTTGGCAGCCTGGAGGGCCCTGCCAGCTGCACCTCGGTGCAGTTCGTCAGGGCGGGCCCCGATGCTGTCGCCATCGTCACTGGCGGCCAAGGTGGAGGCTTTGTCGGACGGGGGGGGGAGGGGGGCGGGGTGCCGGATCCGATTTCGAATGGAATCGCCCCGTCAATTGCGCAGTCGTTGGGGGCTGTTGTAAGCGGAGCTTCTCCAACTTACCAGCCACTTGACCCTTCTGTGTAGGATCCTAATTCCATTCCACGCTTGCATGATAGTCAGTGCAGTCATTGTTGGCTCCTGTCGTTGGCTCGCAGATCGCAGGGACAGTGGTGGGTGGGGAGAGGGAACACAAGAATGAGGAACAGCAACCGCAGCCGCGAGCAGCAGCAGGGGGAAGAGGAATAGGGATGGGGAGAGAGAGGAGTAGGAGCAGGAGCAGGCGGAAGAGCGGCAGGAGGATGAGGAGGAGGGCGGGAGGACCAGAGCAAGCCCAAGATGTATCAACGATGCTGTAATACACCCCCGCCCTACACGTAAAACAGTTACCCAAGACGTACACAAACCTTTTTGCACGTAAGGCTACTATTGATGTGAACGCCTTACGAGATATGCAGCACGCGAGAAGGCGACACGAAATAATGGGACAGAAGTCGAGGTGGAGGAGGAGGAGGAGGAGGAGGAGAAAAAGAGGGGGGACAAGGAGGGTGAAGAACGAAGGGGTCGCAATACTGGTAAGCGTAACATCGCCATGCGCTACATCTGCTTGGTCCGGCCGTGTTGCCGCAGAGGACAGTGCAGTGTGTTACGTCACGCTCCAGCGCCCTGCGCTCTGTGATGCAACTTCGCCACGCGCTGCATGCCGGGGCAGCATCAGGGGCCATGTGGGCGCGCTCTCATTTATACTCGAGTGGTAATCGCCCGTTGCAAACATCGCTGGCGGCGCTGCCAAAGGTGCAGCCACTGCGCACGCTCGAGCAGAACCCGCTTGCAGCCCTCCTCCCTTCAGTCGCGCAGGAACTTGGCAAGGCCGAGCGCGTGCGCCATCTTCCTGGACTGCTTCCTGCAGTTTTACTGAACCTCCCCGGAGCCCACGAAAGTGGCGACAGTTTTGCAGTTCGCGGCCACCTGTGGAGCTGTGAGGTATCAGCCAAGCGCGCACGATTCAATCCCGCTGGATTTCGCACGGGCCCACGAAAGTGACCACATTTGCAATACTCGCAAACCCTTGAGAGCCGCGAGGTTCCGTGTGAGTGCGCGCACAGTGGTGACAGTTGCGCGGTCGCAGCCACAAAGGGCCGCGAGGTCCTGTCTGTGCGCGCGCTGAGCTCCACCCCGCTGGACCACCCACCAGCCCACTAAAGTGACGACCGCCGCGCAGATCGCAACCACCCAGGGAGCCGCGAAGTCCTGCGCGCACGCGCGTGCAACTCCACCCCGCTGGACCTCCCAGGGGTCCACGAAGGTGGCGACATTTGCGCAGGTCGCAGCCACAGCGAGGGGCGCGAGGTTCCCTCTGGATGCGCGTCCAATTCCACCCCGCGGGACCTCAGGAATCCACGGAAGCGGCGACGGTTGCGCAGTTTTCGAGGTATTGTCCGGATTTGTGTAGAATTAAATTCCGACGGACTTGCCAGGGCCGCACGAAGATGGCGACAGCCGCGCAGTTCGCAGCCACCCAGGGAGCCGCGATGTCCTGTCTGGATATGCGTGTACAGCCTTTCCTCCAGGCCTCCCAGAGACCCGCGAAAGTGGCGACGATTACGCAGCTCGCAGCCACCAGGGGGGCCGCAAGGCCCCGTTGGGATGCACATGCAAACCACTTGTCATGTATTTCCCAGGGCCCCTCGAAAATGACGACACTTGCGCAGTTCGCAATCACCCAAGGAGCAGCCGACGGCGTTTAATGGGGTAACAGGCAGAAGTCAGCAAGAGGAGGAGGAGGAGGAGGAGGAGGAGGAGGAGGAGGAGGAGGAGGAGGAGGAGGAGGAGGGGGCAAGGGGGCAAGAGGGGTGCAGGAAGAGGAGGTCCAGCTTGGAGACCACAGCGCTTTGTTCATAACGAGAACCCAACACACGAAGGTTGGGGAAACAATTGACAAGGAACCTGGTGCGACATGGGACTGGACCACGACATGGGGCGGGAGGAGGAAGAAGACGGAGAGGACGAGGAGGAGGAGGAGGTGGAGGTGGAGAAAGGAGAAGAGGAGGAGGAGGAGGAGGAGGAGGGGGAGGAGGAGGCGTGAGAGGAGGAAGACGAGGATAACGAAAAGGAGGAACAAGAACAGGAGAACGAGGAGGAGGAGGAGGAGGAGGAGGAGGCATAGGAGGAGAACGAGGAGTTGGGAGAGCAGCGGGAAGAGCGAGGGGAGGAAGAGGAGTGATCGTGTGAGGGGAGGTGATCGCGGGAGGAGGCGGCGGAACCACAGCAGCGGCGGGAGGAGGGGGAACAGCGCCCACACCGGCGGGAGGAGGCGCTGCCGCCCAGGCCGCAGCACTGCTGCGACGTCTGCCGGCTCCGGGCCGAGAGCGGGGGCGCCGGCAACCTCGAGCGAGATTTCGGGGACGCGGCCAGGGTCACCCCCTTCCCACCCTCCCACCCAGGAGGAGGAGGGAGGCAAAAGGGGAAGGGGAAGCGAGGAGGAGGTGGGGGTGGAGGAGGAAGGAGGAGGAAGAGGGCGGAGGAGGAGGCGGAGGAAGTAGAGGGGAGGCAACGAGGAGAAGGCAGGCGGCAGGAGGCTGGGGAGGAAAGGAGCAGCGGCCCCGTTCAAAGATACACCATGAGAATTCATTGGAGGCCCATGCCAAGAAGCACCATGCTTGCCTCCAGGGTTCCCTTGGTTTCTTGGGTTTGGATGGTTTTGCGAGGGAAAGCGTGACGTTCCCGCACCAAAAATCCATGGACGTCCTGGGGTCTCAGGGTCGGGTTTCTCGTGGAAGGCTTCTTGTGGACTGGCCTCCACCGTACTACTGTCCTCTGTCCCCCGACTCTGTCCGCAAGATGTTCTGCCCTCTCCGCGTCCTGCTTCTGACGCCGGGGTGAGGTAGAGATTCAGGAGGGAAAAAACACACAGACACAATTAATCGTCGATCCCCCAGAAAATATGGGAAAATATGGGAAGTGGGGGGGAAGACAGAAACCCAGAAGATATAGAAAAATATAGGGAATATTTTCATTTGTGTGTATTTATTTGTGTGTCCTGGGGCCCCTTCAGAGGTGGTTCTCTCGTCCTCCTGCTCGGCTCCTTCTCCTGCCCCCGGTTTCCCGGCTCCTCCCCTTCCTTCCATGTTCCAGTCCCCGGTGTTGCTGTTCGTCCTCGTCCTCCTCTTTCGTCCTCATCT